ATATTGAATCTAATTGAAGATTAGATCTTTGTTGTTCTCCTTCAAATTATGCTCTTGTCAATACCATTGTGCATCAAGCCCATCTACATAACTTGACACGTCATCAATCCATTCCCACTCAGACTCGAACGCTAATTCACACCAATTTCCATACAACCCTCAAGATTTGGATCTATCCATGTAGATTCCTCTTTGTTTAGGGTACAATGTTGCTGGTCTCACTTATGCAACAGTTGTGTAATCCTCTCCATCAAGTAGTTAATTCCCTTGCACTGTCAGATCAGATCGGCATCGCTACGGCTAAGACCTCCATGACCAGCCATCATAATCTCTGACTGGGCACAAATCGTGCTCTGATACCAAAGTGATGTAAGAAAATTGAAGAAAAAGTAAAAATTAGAAATTACAAAGAAAAAGCATGTCTATAAATCAAGCCAAGAGAAAACTTGTTTTGTTCATAAAATAAAATTCATTCCAATAGTATAAGCATCTTATAATGTAATATCCCACCTTTTATAAGCTTATGAAGCCCCAAAATTAATTTAAGATCCAAGTAAACAATTTAAGTCTCTTAAGTACTGCTAAGCAATATTAATAATTCCATAAATAACCCTGTGAACAGAAGTAACCTGTGAACAGACTTGTGAATATTAAAAAAAAATAAAAAATAGAAACTAATGATAATTTTAAAATATTAATTGTAATAAAACAATAAAATGTACACTCACATCCAAGAAATTAAATTAAAATTTTGAATCACCCAGCTCCTTCATCTCCATCAGATATGGGATGATGATGTGCCAATGGATTTGTCTTATTTATTATTATTGAGTAGGCAGTGGCAATATGACAATCACACGATTCATGATGGGTTTAAGAACAATTACTCCTCTGTCAAAGATGTGTAAAAATCGTTTGAGGTCCATCTAGGAAGGAAAATCCCTCCAAATCAAATAAAGGGTATACTAATCTCCTTTCTAGCGGAGTTTATGAAGGGCTTGAATAAGTCCGGGATGTTGTTTACGATGGTCTGAATGCAGGAGCAGCCAGTTAGGTCGGTTCCACCACAATTAAAACCATTAATAAGGGATTATCGTGATGTCATCCCGGATGAGCTTCTGGAGGGGTTACCACCCATGAGGGACATCCAACATCATATAGACCTCGTTCTTGGATCCCGCATGCCGAACGAGGCTGCATATAAAATGAACCTGAAGGAGCATGAAGAATTGTACAAATAGGTCACAGAGCAGCTACTAAAGGGGGTTTCGCGAGAGCATGGCTATCCCAGCTTTATTGATGCTTAAAAAGGATGGGACTTGACATATATGTGTGCATAGCAGGGTTATTAACAAGATCAAGATCAAGTACCACTTCCCCATTTCGTGCCATGATGATATGTTGGATATGTTGACTGGTGCTACTGTGTTTGAAGATAGATTTGAGAAGTGGATACCATCAGATCCATATTCAGCGAGGAGATAAATGGAAAACTGCACATAAAACACGAGAGGGCTTTTATGAGTGGGCCAAATGGTATCACCAATGCTCTACTTTTATGAGGGTGAGGAATCATGTGTTTAAACCTTTTATTGGTAAATTTGTGGTGGTCAACTTTGATGATATTCCAGTAGACAACATTGGTGAGCAGGCGCATATGAAGCACTTGCGATTGGGGTTTGACTTGTTACAGGAACAGCAGTTGTATGTGAATCTTAAAAAGTGTGAGTTCATGATGGACAGCTTAATCTTTCTTGGTTATGTTGTCTCAGCAAAGGGCATTAAAGTTGACCAAGGTTAGCAACTATCAAAAATTGGCACACTCCTATAGTGTATGATGTTTGCAATTTTCATGGCTTGGGTACTTTCCACAGGAGGTTTATCAGTGGCTTCAGTTTGATCATAGCACCTCTTGAGTTTGCTTAAAGTAGGGGGAGTTTCTATGGATTGACGAGGCCGAGAAGAGTTACAGTTGAAGCAGAAAATGATTGAGGCATCTGTGTTGGCCCTTCCAAACTTCGATAAAGTCTTCGAGCTAGATTGTGATGCTTCACATGTTGGGATTGGTTAGTGTTGAGTCAATAAGGGCGTCCTATTGCCTTCATCAGGAGAATCTAAATGACACTTAACAACGATATTCTACATGGATATGGAGTTTTATGCTATTGTTCAAGCCTTAAGGCATTGGCGCCATTATATGATCGAGAGGGGGTTTATTTTTATGAAGCATTGAAGTATATTAATAGCCAACATAAACTAAATTAGCAACATGCTCATTGGGTAGCCCATTTGCAGAAGTTTACTTTTGTGATTTGGCATAATGCAGGCAATCAAAATAGAGCAGCAGATGCTCTTATTAGAAGATCGGCTTTATTGACTACCATGATAGCAACGATTATTAGTTTTGAATTTATGAAGGATCTTTATGCAGATGATGTCGATTTCAAGGAGATATGGGCTTAGTTCCGTGATGGAGTCTATGAGGATTTTGTTATTCAAGATGGATTTCTCTTTAAAGGAGACCATTTTTTTTATACCCACAGGTTTCCTTAGCGAGACCCTAATAGCAAAGCTTTGTGCAGGACGTCTTGGCAAGCACTTTGGTCGAGACTAAACCATAGCTTTGGTTGAGTCGAAGTATTACAGGCTAAAATTGAAGAGAGATGTACAGAGTTCGTCAAGAGATGCCATAAATGTTAGCTAGCTAAGGGGCAGCGACAAAATCAGGGCGTTATTCTCCACTTTCTATTCCTAATGCACCTGGCAGAATGTTAGCATGGATTTTGTGTTGGTTCTTCCACGGGCTCAAAGAGGTATGGATTCCATATTTGTCATAGTGGATAGATTTCAAAGATGGCGCATTTTATAGCTTGTAAGAAGACCTTAGATGCCATGCATGTTGCTAACCTATACTTCACAGAGGTAGTGATGTTGCATGGTGTTTCGAGGACAATAACTTCATATCCGAATACTAAGTTTCTAGGCCATTTTTCAGGAACTTTGCGGAAGAAATTGGGCACTCGATTATAATTCAGTAGTTCCTAGCATCCATGAACAGATGGGCATACTAAAGAGGTAAACCGTACTCTTGGTATCTTCTTAGAACAATTGCAAGTGAAAGAAGAAGTGGGATCTAGAGATGCATCAAGCTGAATTTAAATCTAACAATGCTTGCAGCAGGTCTACTGGTAAGAGTCAGTCCAAGGGTGTATATGAGAAGAACCCCACCCATTCGCTTGACTTGGCTCCTATGCAGGCTAATGGGGAGGCTCATGCTACTTTTGAGGAGTTGCTTGAGCAAATGAAAAGAGTCCATGAGCAGGTGTGTGCTATTGGAGCCAATACAGCCAAATATAAAACCGTACTCTTGGTGATCTTCTTAGAACCATTGCGAGTGAAAAGAAGAAACAGTGGGATCTAGAGATTAATCAAGCTGAATTTGCATCTAACAATGCTTGCAGCAGGTCTACGGGTAAGAGTCAGTCCAAGGGTGTATATGAGAAGAACCCCACCCATTCGCTTGACTTCGCTCCTATGCAGGCTAATGGGGAGGAGGCTCATGCTACTTTTGAGGAGTTGCTGGAGCAAAATGAAAAGAGTCCATGAGCAGGTGTGTGCTATTGGAGCCAATACAACCAAATATAACGAAGCAACAGACAAACATCACCGTTTCGAGGAGTTTAATGTGGGAGATTGGATGATGGTGTACCTCAAGAAGCAAGACATTCAGCAGGCAAATACAACAAAATAACTGCTGCAAGGGAGGACCATTCAAGATTTTGAAGAAGATGGATAGCAACGCTTATAAGTTAGCTTTAACTTCACATATGGAGACTTTGGATATCTTCAACATTGCTGATTTATCGAGGTATCTTGGACCAAAGAAAGCGAACAATGAAGGTTCTAATTCAAGGGTGAGGTCTCCGCAGCCCAGGGAGGATGATGATGCGCAAAGCATTTCAAGTGGATAGAATGACGAGTATCTTCTGTGGGAGCAGCTGATCCTCCTAACTCTCGTGTATATTTGGAGGATGTGAACCCCAGGAGGGCTACTAAGAAGAATAAGAAGAGCAAGCATCGTTTGGAATAATTCTCAAGCAATTTTAGGGTTATTTTCAGGGACTTCTAATTGCTTTTATTTTCTGGACCAGTTGGGGAATTTCTATTCATTTTATTTATAGTAAAGGCCATTTATTTTAAAAAAGTCACTTACATTAGGACTTGTGAATCAATTTATTATTTGTATGGACACTTAATGTCTTTTGTGTGGGGCCTAAGAGGTTCATTCATGTGATTTTCTAGGAAATAAAGAGAGAATAAGCTTTGGCCTTTGAAGACCTAGTCAGGGCTTGAAGAAGAGACCCTAGGTTCTTCTTTTTTTTGTTGCTTGTGATGAGCTTGTGAATTTTATAGCTGTCTTCAAATTTCCCACATCACATACCTAGAACAAAGACAAGTGAAGGAATAACCATGTTTAAAGAACAAAACTTCTTAGGTATGGAAGCAGAAAGCAAGTTAAAGTAGAAAAGTGGCACAATCGAGTGTGATTTTGTAGCATTCAGATAGTCTAAATATGGAAGGTGTAGAGATGTATTCTAATTCCGGCATGACAACTGATGGCCTTTCCATAATTAAAAGTGTTTTGATAGAATGTTTGAAAAGAATGCATATAGATAGACACAGGACACATGTACCTAATGTATCAAAATCAATCAAATGACAGAAAATACATCCAGTGGAAACATTTAGCACATACCTTGAATTCCTAGATAAGCCTAATGCATATCAAGTTATCCTAGTCACAAAATCTTCTGGCTAATTCTAGTAGTCTCATACTACTAATAGTAGAGCAAAACAGAAAATCATGAAAGAAGATTACGCAGACAAAATCCAGCCACCAAGTAAAAAATATGTATAACTAAGTTATAACCAATGCACTCTTCATCAAGATCTTATGTCTCATCTACAAACTCCAAAAACATTGAGATGAAGTGGGCTACCCTCATTTCAGTCTGCGTTAGATAAGATTGTCCATCAGGATCACGTGAAAGGTGGACTTTCTTTCCCCGAGTTTCTCCAACAGCTTCCCATTCATTACTTACATCACGATCCCTCCACATTGCTTCCATGTCTTCTGGATCCACACAATCATCCCAATATTTAAAGCTAGGGGCCATCTCAGGCTGATTATGTGGATCGCCCTACAACATCTGGGAAGAGAGGTAAACCACATCAATACGTAAGAGGTAAGCTTGGTAGACATTGCAACGAGTTAGCAATTATTATGTCTATGGATGATATACATGACAATTAAAACAGAGTGCTCCCATGTCATAAGAAGTACCTATCAAGTTTATGGAAGGTCAAACCAATATGACAAAGAAAGACCATATATTCATGTTCGTTTAGGTTAATCTAACGAATTAATGAAAATCAATCATCATCTCATAAATATTTAACCATCATAATGGCAGTCAAAATATAGAAATTTGAGCTGCCTCGGCAAGACACTTGGGAGTTCTAAAGCAGAAGTCGAACAACAAATATATGATGGCCACTGATCCGTACAAATGAAAATGAAACCTGTTTAGATAAAGATTAGTTACTAAGTTGAACCTAAGATCACCTAAAGAGCATTTACTTGAAGAATGCAAATATCCTTCTTAATTTAAAACAACAGCCCTAATGTTCATCAGTTCAAGAGATGTAGGTCGATACAAAATCAAGTATGCTGATGAATATAACAGGTACTAAGAGTTTCAGAACAAGAGATTCTTCAATCAAACCATCTTTAGTTTATAATGAACCTAAACTTTAAAAAATAAAAATAAAAAATTAAAGAAATAATTGGGATGAAAATCTTAAAGATTGTTTTAGGAGCTAAAATAGATCTAGTAAAAGGAGCCCACAGTATAATCCAAACCGACTGCTCACAAATATTGAGCTGTATAATTTTCAGAACTCATTCAGTTTCACTACGTTTTCACTCAAGGTACTATTAGTATGCAGTTTTCCTTGAACTTGCTATGTTAATAATTCGTATGAATGGGTAAAGAGATTTTGCGTGGGTTCAAAATTAATACATGCGAGAAGAGTTCTCTCCACTCTTCAGATCAAACATTTGACCAAGTGGTGATTGAGGGAATAGTATGGCATTATGGTACCAGAGTAAAACTCCTGTGAAATTTGTGCGCCATATTCTAACTAATATCATTAGCATGTGATACATTTATACTCAGTGGGCTTGTTACGTAGATGATCACGATGCATATACAGGCATTTTGAGGAGACTCGAAGCAAGCTATTTTTGGGAAACGGTTCTACCTATTGTTGAACACTGCTGGTTATGAAGCTTATATCATTCTTCCCATTACCCCTTTTTCTTGGGAAGGTGCAAAATTGACCGGTGAAGGATTAATCTCAACCACCATCATCAGGAATGGAAGTGGATGCCACCACGTTGTACCAAAAGGAAACACAGGCAATAAATGAGGGAGAAAAATGGTCTTTACAAAATGGGAGACACTACATCAAGAAGCCATGGTACTGTTGTAACTTGTATCTAATGATACAGAAAACACAGAACCATGCCCCACTATGCTAGGTTCTATTCATGCCCTAAAGGACTAGCAAGAGCCAATTCCCTAGTGTGAACCAGAGCCAAAATCCATTCAATCAAGTAATACTCAATAGAAGACAAGAAATCAATAGAGGAGGCATTTATCAGAAGGATTAATCCAAATGTCAGAAAACAGAACAGAATTCAAGGCATCTATATTATTCAATGATAACTAATTCTAGGATCATGGCTTCCTATCATAGATTAATCACAATTAAACTATTGGCCTAATCATAACCAATCACAAAATTAACTAACATGTATGAGCCAAAGGCTACCAATTACCAAAAAAACTGCATTTCCTTAACACATAACTATATACATTCGTGAATCTTCAAATTACCACATCAGAGTATGAGAGAGAAGGGTCATAAGATTATAAAATTACCATGTGAAAGATCTTGGACAAACTTAAGAGAGAGAACGCAGAAAGAGAAACTATTTCTAAATCTAATGCAATGTGTATACCTACCTGAAAACCTATGAAGAAATTATTGATGAAAAACAATGTGCATGAGAAAGAGAGAGAGATTTACTGAAAATGGAGAAAGGGTTTGTTTACCTAGCGGTGAGAGAGAGAGAGAGAGAGAGAGAGAGAGAGAGGAGGTAGAGAGAGGAGGTGCGTGCGCTAGTGTACGTAGTGTTAGTTTCGTACGTACTTACTACTATTATTACTACTTACTTACTAGTGTGACGAAGGTATTC